GACTTCTTCATTTGGTTACAACACAAGCACAAGTGCTTAAAATAGTAGAAAACCACAATGTTTACTACGTGTGATACTGGGAGTAGCCATCTTGGTATTCCTTAAATCTTTGTTGCCCTACAGTATTAAGACTAAACCCTCATAGTACTCTCATTTTCTGGCAACAACATGATCAGATATTAAAGTTTTAAACTCCATTCAGAGACACGAAGCCAAATCATGACTTAGTATCTGATCATTGTGATTTATAAAGACACTTTCTGTCTTGCACTTTTTTCAATGTGGCGCCCTCCAGTGGTTACACAGTCTTACTGCAATCCTCTTGCTTGAATCTTTTTGGTTGATCATTTAATTAATTGATGATTTTGTATCATGATTAAAAACATTAAATTACAATTAAAAGGAGCAGCTCTTCTGCCCAAAGGCTTTTCTTCACTTTATTTTCATGTGACATGTTTATTTATTATTGAAAGATTACATAATCCCACAGAGAAAAACAACAACAAAGACAAATCACTGTTAAGCTCTATTAATTAATCACTGTTTGGTATTGATTTGATAAACCTCTTTTTTCAAAACAAAAAACTGCCAAAAACCCAGTTGATGTGTATTTCAGCTTTGTATTTTTAAGTTACAATGTACAGCAACATTCAAACCTTCACAGATGTTCTCAAGAATATCTCAAATAAAATGCCAAACATATACACACCCAGCAGTGAGTCTGACAGTGTGGTTCACATTAAGTCACATAATGATGGAGTGAAGAGCAGTGGCTCCCCCTGGTGCTACAGACAGGTCACTGGGGGTGTGTGAAGAAAATACACATGTGAGAAAATACAAAGAAATGTTCCCCTTTGTCCTCAATGAAGGAATCATCAAGTAGAAACTCATATTTCTAAATTTGGTTTAGCTTCAGATGAGAATGAGAAATGTTTTTAATGTAGTCCGTACAGTTGGCAGTGCAGTGCACAGTGGTGTCAATCATAAACAGTGAGTGCATAGAAAGAAAAGGTGGAATAAAGAGGTTCAGCTACTAAAGATATTTATTTTTATTCAGTTTTTATTTATGTCTTTCTCTGTGCTGATGACCAATCAAGTTTATTTGATCCTATTTCTTCATATTTGGCAGCTTGTCCTTGATGCTTTTAAAGAACACTTTGACTTTATTTTGAATTTTCTGTCCAGTTTTATCCACCTTTTAAGGCCTTTACATGCTGAGGGTGATAAATGTTGGTTTGTCAATAATGTAATGTTATCATAATACAAAGGACAGTGACAAAGGGGACTTGGAATGGCGATTGTCATGTGGGATCCATCCACGATCTCTCTAAAGTCACCTCACAGAACACGACAGTTGCTGGTCTGCTGCCGTCTCCATTAGTTAGTCTGTCTTGTGTGACTTTGGTGTTTTGGAATATTAATACAGACCGAACTGGAGCCCTGGGACAGTCCCTGTCCTGCTTGTGGGGGTTTCATTTATCACCATCTATAAAAGGGACAGT